TGATTGGCTATCCACTTCTCGGAGATTTTCGTGAATGATCTGCAATTTGTGTAACCGATAACTGTCTCCCCTCGAATGTTGTGTCTGAAGTTGTCACCTGACCGAAATTATCGAATTTAGATCTCATACAATTAAGTGATTATTTTGTCTAGGCATCCTAAAGTAGCCACTTAAGGCAAGTGACGACACCAGACCAAAGATTTGGGATTTGGAGATCTGGTTGATTAAAGATTATAGATTCACCATTACATTATTGGCCTAATCAGAAATCGTGATTTCTTTTTTTTAAATCAACCGATCATATAAGAATATCAACCGGCTATGTATTTCAGTTGCTACCTTGCGTGTATTTTACCAAGTTTCGTTTATTATTTATTCAACTAATCGATTAGTTGGCCAATCGATTAGTCAACTAATCGATCGATTAGTCGATTAATCGATTAATTGGCCAACTAATCGATGAGTTGAATAAAAACCGATTAATCGATAACTAATCGATTGAATCGATTTGTATCACTAAAAAGGACTTTCCATCATGCTGATTTTATGATCACCCTAGATGAAAACTAAACTACTTAAGGAATTCTCAACCCTGAAAGAACTCGACAAACCTTTGGTTTTGGCTTTTAAATCTAAAATTTACCTAAAGAAATCTGAAGTAGTCCGGTATATTATAAACCTAAGGGTTCAGAGTTTTTGTTTTTCTTAACATCACTTCAAACCTTCTATTTTTGATTTTATGCATTTTCAACTCATTCTAATTTACTCTTACGTAATGACATGTAATGATACAGAAATTTCTAAGAGCCTTGTTCCGGGTCCAGTCAGTGATTCAACTTCGTGAATTTGATTTAAGTCGCGTTTTTTTAACGTTAAACGTTTAAAAATTAGAAGTATATACCATTTTCTTTACACTTAGCGGCTAGTTCATAAATAACTCATCTTGTTTAATTCAATTTAAAAGATGTCTGAATCAGAAGAAGCCACAACTAGCAAAAACACTTCAAACAACAAAACAGCCCAAATTGTACAAGTCGATCAAGACATACAAAATAGTTCAGATAATCAAAACGTACAAGACGCACAAATGCATTCAGATAATCAAGATGATGATTTTCTAACACCTGAATTGCAGGAAATGTATAAAAAGTTAGATCGAAGGATGAAGGAACGTTATCAAAGATGCAAAACTGATGAAGCAAAAATCGCTTTATTGGAAGGAATTATGCATGAGCGTAAAAAAGGAGTAAGTGTGCTTGAAATTATACACATTTTCATCGATTATTTTATTTATTTTTTTTTTACTAAACCGGATTAGTTTTTTCGCCGTTATTTTTTTTCCCTATCTTTAGAAATATGAAGTAAGCTCAGTTTTCAATGTGATTAGTATACTTACTACCATTGCCATCACTATTACTGCAAAATATATTGAAGATGAAAATTCTACTAAATTTTTTATCATTATCCTGAATAGTGTTATATTTGGAGATCAAAATTTTATTTTTATTGTAAAATTGTTGAGAGAAGCTTTTTTTGTTAATAAATCTTATATAACTATAATAATTGTTGCAGATCATAATGAAATCAGATCATTATGAAATTTAGGGGTCTCAATTTAAAGATATAAGCTTTACCAAAATTCACCTATACTCTTTTCCTAATAATTCTAACCCTAAACCTTAACTTAACTATAAAAAAAAACTTAACTAAAAAGGTTTTAAAAATTTTTAAAAATCGTATATAAAATAAGTTAAATTTCATTATGATCTGCTACTATAATTATATTACTTCCATCTAGTGCTTCTATCAGATCGGACTGGATCAAACTTTTAGTCAAGTTTGGGTTCAAACCGGACTCAAACTCAAACTTTTTTTAAAATCAAGTTTAGTTTGGTTTGGTTTTAAACTTTTTAGTTAAGTTTGAGATCAATCTGGGTTTGGTTTCAAAGTTTGCAAACAGTTTGAAGTTTGAAATATATATGTATTTTTATGTGCTGAACAAGTTTACTTATTATGCCAAAGTACTATTGATTAATAAAATATTGAGTAATTTAGTATTTTGTATAATTTTACTAATAAAATGATGCAAAATGCTAAATTACTTAAAATTTTACTAATAAATAGTGCTTTAGTATCATAAGTGAACTTGTTTAGCACACAAAAATATATTATAATAACATATTTAATTTTATCTTTTTTCATTTTTAAAGAAAAATACATAATTTTGAAATTTTTGATTAAAAATTTCAAAATTAAATGTTTTTTTTTGAAAGATAAATTAAATATGTTGTTATTATATATTTTTGTGTATTAAACAAGTTTACTTATGATAATAATACACTATTTATTAGTGAAATTTTGAGTAATTTAGTATTTTTTATAATTTTATTAATAAAATTATAGGATGTTCTATAGAATAAGTAGGCAATATAAAAAATAAGCTTTGTTAATGATTAGTAATCATTAATTTTTTTAATATCAGAGTTGCAAAGTTGGAGTTTGCACACCTATTCTATAGAATATCTAAATTATATAAAATATTAAATTACTCAAAATATTACTAATGAATAGTGCTTTAGTATTATAAATAAACTTGTTTAATATATAAAAATATATTATAATAAGATTATACAAATTAAATTAGTTAATTCTTGTCATATAGAACAAACAAATAAGACCCAATTAGTCAGTAAAAAATGTTATATTTAAACAATTTTTTAATATAAAAAATTTTTATAATTTTTTTTTATATAAGAATAAAAAAAATTTTATATAAAAAAAATGTTAATTTCTCTAAAAAATTAGAATCAAATATAGTATAGGTTATCTCTTTAAAAAACTATTAAATTTACTAATTTTATATAATTATTTTATTGTATATATATTATAATTAATATTTTAATCAATATTAAAAAGCAAATTTAAAAGATTATATTACAATATATAGTAATTAATTTAAAGATTTTAAAGATTTTATTAAGGGTAGCTATATTATATTTGATCCAAAAAAGAACCTGATCAAGTAACGAGAATCAATTTTTTTTTTTTTTTGTAGTCAAGGTTAGCCTTTTTGGCTTCTCGCTTTTATTAGACTTTATAGAATCATGTGGTGTCTTTTTTAAAGGGCCCCAAACAAGTATATTCTGATGAAGATATATTCTAGTCATATCTGCGCCTTTTGAGTATCTAATTAAGTATCTACCTATTACTAGGTTCTATACTAGATGCCGTATCTATAATCCACTATTACTTGAGTTATCCAATTAAACTCTCTGGTTTGAGCTTCCCTACCAATCCATTTAATCTTACTCAGAACATGTGATACATAAGTCAGTTCAAGTTCCAAGATCATTACATGACACCTATAGGACTACCAGCATAGTTAACCAATTCATCCTCAAGTGCATCATCTGCTAGAGCAGTCTGGTTCTACTATACTGTATTACCTAGTCTACTTCAGTAATTTACATCTAGGCCGAGACCAAGTACTTGCGAGCCGAAGCCACTACCATTACCTACTATGCTCTTATAAAGTTCACTCAGACTCCAGAACCACTATATAGACTATCTGCTATATGCCCATCACCCCAAACTTCCAATTCAGATAGCTCAGAAGGGCTATGACCTGCTTCTAGTCTCCACAGTTGAGTCCTTTTCCTTTGGTTACTCTCCAGTGACCTGGTTGATAGAGTGCCTTGCCAAACACTTCGGTCGCATTCAGTTCTCTGGTTTCCAGTTGATAATCCTTTACATAGTACCATTGAAGATCTGTGCTACCTCTCTATTCGAGTTTTGCCAAGTAGGCTCTTATGTGCGCCAACTCTGAATTTATACAGCTGCTTCACTCGGGTTTTGTATAACTCACACATTATACTATTGTTCTATGGCCTCCCAGCACAAGCTGGTATGACCAGATTACAGATATCGATCTGTTCGTTTACACACAGTCTGCCGTAACACTGTACTGAAAATTTGAATTTTCTGTTATTGTGGAATTCGAACTCTGTTCCTGCCACTTAGGGATGTAACAACTTCACCACTTCACTAAGTCACTACACCCTCGAGAATCAATTTTATTAGTTTATATGATTTAATATACTATATATAATTTTTTTTATTTTTGAAAAGTGTATAATTTTAGAATTTTTGATCAAAATTTTTAAAATTATATATTTTTTTCAAAAATAAAAAAAATAAAAAATTAAAGAAACACTATTTCTATTATAAAAATTTGCTATTTCCACTATGTTTTTTTTTTTTTTTTTTTTTTTTAATGTTAAGATGACCACTCATAGGTTTGGCATAGTTTTTTTATTAAACTTTTGGGTTGATACTAACATAGTCATATGGACAGTTCCTGATCTTGTTATACTAATGAAAGTACATTCTAGCCATATTTGCGCTTTTTGATTATCTATTTAAGTAGTCTGCCTATTCTAGATCTATACTAGATGCCATACCTGTAACTTACCTATTACTTGAGTTACCCAATTAAACTCTCTGATCAACTTCATACCATTAAATATCTTTTCTAAAGAAGAACCTGCCGCTAAGACCTGCTAAGTCTTTAAAGTGGATATATACTTCCATATAGGAGGGTCTTTTGACCTTGTAATAAACCTACTAGAGCAGTCTATATTCCACACATATATCACCTAGGTTTTTAGTAACTTATGCCTAGGCCGAGATCAAGTACTTGCGAGCTGAAGCTGCTATCATTACTGACTTTGTGCTCTTGTAAAGTTTGCTTAAACCCCAGTATACACTTAACAATCCCTACTTCCAATTTTCCAAACTAAGCCCTATTTCTGGTTTTCCAAACTAAGCCCTACTTCTGGTTCACCAAACTTCCAATTCAGATAGCCTGAAAGGGCTATGACCTGCTCCTGATACCCATAATTGGGTCTTTTTTTCTCCGGTTACTCAGCCGGCAGTCTGGTTGATAGAGTGTCTTGCTAAACACTTTGGTCTCATCTGGTTTTCCCTTTTCTTGCTGTTCGGTTTCCTCTTTTTCTGCCGTTTGGTTTCCCATTTTCAGATTGTCAGATAATACTATCAAAGATCTGTGCTACCTCTCTGTTCAAGTCTTGCTAAGCAGGCTTCCATATCTGATCCACTAGATTTACCTGGCAGCTTTACTGTTATGCAACTCATATGTTATACAGTATTTCTACTGCTTCCCAATACTACGGTACTGATACGACCCCATTACAGGTGCTGACCCGAATAGGATACAGTCTTCTAAATGCATTTTTTGTAAATTCGAATTTCATCGCCAGTGAGATTCGAACTCTGGTTCTGCTGATTAAGTGTGACAACTTATCATCTTTACTAAGTCACCACACCCTTCTACTATACTTTTTATTTTCAATTGAAAAATAATATTCGTTAATTAATAATTGATATACAAAAGGATGTGGCAATTTAGAGTAGTGATTAAGTTGTATTCCCCAAGCAACAGGTCTAGAGTTCAATTTCTACTGGTGATGTTTTTAGAAAAATAGGCCTGTGTACTAGTAACAATTATTCGATGATTAGTTGAATATATCACCTATAATCTTGATACTATTATCTCGAAATGGAAGCTCTTAGGTAATCTAAATCCAAGAAACTAGAATAATTGAAACCAGTTTGGCAAGACCTAAGTAAGAAGGTAGTGAAGATCTTTAACAATACTGCAGAAAAGCTGAAAACCAGAAACTGAAAAACCTGATGAAAACTCTAAAGCAAGAAGAGTCTACCAATCTGCCTACCAAAATCACATCAGAGGAAAAGGTCTTATATTATAAAATTAGAAACCAAGATAAGTAAAACTGGAAGATATTTAAAGCCTAAATACAATGACCCATCTGGACTAACTGGTTTGGTAGTTGGGAGGGATTGGTATAAAAACTGGTTTGATGTGAGTATTAGAATTAGAATGAATCTTGTAAAGCTACCAAATATCAAAATTGTGCAGTTTAATGATTCGCTCTGACTGCTAGTAGTAGATTTGGCTACTGCAGAAAGTATTCATAGCCTAAGATTGGGGGTATGTATTACACCCTCTTTAGAGCAACCCAGTAGTATGAAAGCTCTACTGGGTTATCTATAGAATTAGTGCGCAAGTAGTATAGTAAATATTGATCTGAGAGGTCTTTAATAAAAAGCAGCACAAGGTTATGTGCTGGCATAATTGTGGTGAATAGTACAGAGTAGGAGATATCAGAGTGTTTAAATAGGTAATCTCTAGTTGGGTTATAGGTACAGTATATAGTGTACTTTGTTCTTTCTATAAGATCTTCAAAATAATATCAAAAATGGCTGTAAAATCTTTGG